AATGTAAAAATGTCAGTACAAATATTAGAGTACTATTAATTTTATATGTGTGCACAATACTTGTATCTTCTGGTGCTGCTTCTCTGTTAAAAATCACATGAATACAACGCAAACAGGAAGTAATATACTCCAAATGTAAAACGGCTTCTCAGTGCGCAATTTGTTTACTATGCGCCAAGAACCGACATTTTTGGTGCTGCTGTTCAGTTCAGATAGATTGTGGTGCTTCATTACTGATCGCGCTGCGTTACAAGAACGACAGAGAAAGAGAGAACGAAGCTATTTATTCGGTATAGTAAAGATAGAAACGTGGAGAAACAGAAGATTGACAGGGCTAAATGCATTACATCATAGCGTGTCGTATGAAAACCGATACCACATGAGAAAGATTTTTTTATGGACCACTCACTTCACCGCAATAGAGATGATGTAGCTGTGAAGCAAAACATCAAGGCAAAATTTGCTTATTTTTTAACATGAAAGGGTTTTTTGCCGGGGCCCACCAAGACCTTCGTGACGTATTTTCATCACGGAAATGACGTCAAAATATACACGATTATAAGAGGAACATTTCGTTTACGGGAGTTGAACTTATGACCTCTCAGTGCATCACTAAAAATGCCGAAAGCGCTATCCCCTTCGCCACGGTAACATACTTTGTAGGCTTTACAAACGTACTTTTTTTATCGACCACTAGTCAGTGAGAGAAGACAGCTGTCTTCTCTCAGTGCACTAGCTAAAGTGAAGTAACGCATCGTAATCGTCAAGTTTTCGCTTCTATGCGTCCGTCCCATTTGGCGTGTTTTGAATACAAGAAGGGCAATTTAGTCAACGCCTTAGCGCACTGCCAGGTGGTGACCTTACCTCCAGCGTCACCTTCGCTCATAGCATCCATCCATACCAAAAAATTAACACCATCTCTCGCTAAAGGAAACCATATATAGATGTGAAGTAGCAGGCGCTAACGCTCAAACTGGCGGTGACATTAACACTGGTGCCCTTCGCGGGCGGCGTTGTGTTAAAGAGAAACCTGGGGAGGCTCCATGCACGCAGTGATGGACCTGTGTTTCCTATTGGTACATGGCAATCGATGCTAATGAGCAATGCGAGACAACACTCGTATTCGACACAGAGACCCGCTTTACGTTTTTAGTTAACGCGCATGCTGCGATTTTTCTTTCTTGATTTTGTTGTTGTTGTTCAAAAACGCACAAGAAAAATCTTTCACCAGCAGTACTTTGAAGGTCAGAATCCAGTGTCTATATATACGGGATGGCCAGTGAATGGCTGCGCAGCGCGAGCAGTTGGTTTTTTCAGTCGAGAAACTCGCTAGCAGACGCTGCCTGAGTCGGCGTTGTGAGGCGAGAGAAAGGGGAAACTTAGCAGAGGAGTGGTGAGAGACCGCGGATGGTTATTTGGGTGAACCCACCACAGGAAGGAATGCCTAGACGAGAGAGAGAGGGAGGAACGAAAGACAGGAGAGAGAAAGAGAGAGTAGGGAACGTGCACGCGTAGTAAGGGTGGTCACGCCGCACACCGGATTGAGCTCGATCATAAGATACTTCGCATGTAAAAGAGCTCGGCGACACGCCAGGACTTCGCGTGACTAGCGTGGCCATAACTCTGCATTCCCAACTTGCGCTCATCCCGCCAGAGAGAGATAAAGAATAAAAATGAAGAAAACCAGGGGGGTTTACCATGGCTGAGCCTTCTAGGCAACTTTGCACTGGGGAGTGGGCAAGGGGAATAAAAGTTAGCGAGAGAGAGAAGAGGTGAAATGTCACTCATGCGAACGGCAGTTATGTGCTTATCATCACATACGGTTTACGGAGAAGACACGGCCCGCGTCATGTTTCTCTCTGCTCGGGAAGTGGTGGTAAAACTTTAACATGCCGCGAGTAGACGACCTTAGCGCAAATTCGGTGTCCAATCAGGGACGCTCCTTCTGCCTGTCGCACCACTTTATTAAGCTCTCACCGCACAGCTACTGCAAGCATCTATGAACACAAGAGTTTGTTTTATCATTGATCATGGACGTTAGTTGTCACAATGCAGATGTACCACCAAGTGTCAATGTGTATGCATTGATTGATATGTAAGGTTTAACGTCCCAAAATCACCATATGATTATGAGAGATGCCGTAGTGGTGGGCTCCGGAAATTCGAACCACCTGGGGTTCTCTAACATGCACCCAAGTTTGAGCACACGGGCCTACAGCATTTTTGTCTCCATCGAAAATGCAGCTGCCGCAGCCGGGATTCGATCCCGCGGCCTGCGGGTCAGCAGCCGAGTACTTGAACCACTAGACCACCCCGGCGGGGCGTCAATGAGTATGCATCCACTCTAAACTCTTATATCAATGTACAGTGGTCATTCGACTACTTCTGTAAGAACACGTTTCATTTTCATGTTACACTGATTCCTATGACAGAGATATCAACCATGTTTTCTCTGTTTTTTTGTTTTTTTTTTCAGCATGTTTGTGGTCAGGAGTGGCACACAAAAGAGGGGAGGGGAGTTGCAGCGATGGGTGGCTACCTTACAAAATTTTCCCCGCACCCTCTCCTTATCTTTCAAAATAGCTGACCCAGGGTAGGTGGTGTGCGCTTCTGGCACTTTCTCATTCCTCTCCCCCCGCTCCCTCCTCCAAGTGAACTAATCCTGGCACCACCCCTGGATTTTCTTTTGCTAAAAAGCAGAATATATACCGAGTTCATATTCATTGCTTTATTCTAACAAATTCGCTGCCCACTTGTTAATGAATCATGTGCTACGTGACGCCAGCTGGCAAAGAAAAGTGGCTAACACTCCCAGGTTTCCGTGCATATAAATACAGGAGAAAGTGAACGAGGTAATGACTGCCACCGTAGGTAAATCAGCAAGAACATCGTGCACGTAATCTTAAGGTTTCAGATTTGGCCCCTGAGTGTGGCAAGTTGTTTTCTCATCCACTTTATATCCTTCTCATCTACATCACAATTGCAACATTGCACTCAAGACAGTACAAGGAACGTCCCCCGTATAGCTTCCTTGGCTTCCTAATCTTTTGGGTTTATTTATTATTTTCTTTTTATTTATCAAATACTTCGGACATGTAGTCCATGCAGGGAGGGCAAATAAAATGGTACAACAGTGAACATGTCAAAAACAAAAAATAAATGAAACAAGAACACTAATACAGAAATAGAGTAAAAAAAAAATTTTTTTTTTGGCGTGTGTGTGTGCTTTTTGTTGGTTGCATGATTCTGCAGTAGTTGTCTTTCAAATCTTCAGCGCGGTGCAAAAGTGCCGCCTCAAATGCGTCATGTGCTGTTCTGCGCGTATGTATTGCATCGCATGTGTGTTCCATTTATGTATGTTATGTATAACTTCGAGTTGCTGGTCACAATAATACCGAGAAATTATCTCGAGACCTGTACGGTACTTCTTTTTTGCAAATAATTGTTTGTACTTCCACCCTGTAACGGCCCACTTCTGGGCTAACAGTATAAATAAATGAAATGAAATGAAATGAGTCAATACGTTTGGCGAAACGCTATACAAACAAGTTAATAATAATCCGCATTTTGGTGTTGATTCGATTACGCCATTCCCACCAGTTACTGTACGAGGGAAAAAAGAATTTTTAAGTGTATTCGTTCTCGCGAAGTAGGGTATTAATGCATTTTGTCTACGGTGACGAGTGGTTCGGGTTAATAGGGGCGACAAATATACTGATGAGTCTATACTAGTTTAAACTAGTTTAAGAAACTCCATTCTGTGTTTCTGCCTTCTCAGATCGAGTGGTTCATTGCGGTTAGCATTCATAAGTTCTGTGGGTGAATATTGTCTTGAGAATTTGTTAAATATAAATTTAACTGTCTTTCTCTGCACTCGCTTGAGGTTATTGATATTAGTTTTTGTTTACGGATTCCTAAAAATACATGCATATTCTACTTTGGATCTGATCAAGGTGTTATAGCATAGCATTTTTACGTCGGAGGGTGCTTTTCTAAGTTTGTGCCTCAGGAGGCATAATTTTCTGAAGGCTGAGGAGCAACCTTTACTGATGTGGTCATTCCATGTTAACGCGTTCTTAAAGGTGACTCCTAGATACTTGTATTGGGTTACTTCATGCAGGGGTGATGAACCTAATTTATACGTACGAAGTAAAAGTAATTTCTTATGTGTCATTCACATTAGTACGCTTTTGTATGTGTTTAGTGCCATTCCCCAGTGTATGCACCATTCAAGAATATTGTTTAAACTATTATGTAAATTAATTTGATCATTGATAGAATGAATGTCTTTAAAAGCACGCTATCACCGGCAAATAATTGAATCTGGACACCACCTTCAATCATAATAACATGTCGCTAATATATATAATAAAAAAGGAAAGTGCCGAGAACAATGGCCGGCGGCACACTTGATGTGACTGGAAGTGAGCCCGATTTTCCACCATTAATTTCCACGAATTGATGCCGGTTTGTTAGATATGCAGACACCCAATAAATTAACAATCCTGGGATTCCTGCGTTTACAAGCTTCAGAATTAATGTAATGTGAGGGACAGTGTCGAAAGCTTTTCGGAAGTCTCAAGAAATTATGTCAATTTGTCCATTTTTGTCAAGAGTTGACGCAAAAAAAAATGAACAACAGTGATCAGCTGTGTGACAGTCGAATGCCCCCTCCTAAACTTATGCTGATGCTTAGTTAAAACCGAATGCATCTCCAAATATGTAGTTATGCTGTTTGCGATTTTATGTTCAATAAGTTTGCAGCATTATGAGGTTAGAGATATAGAACGGTAATTTTCAATGAGAAGACGATCTCCCTTCTTATTAATTGGTGCAATGCATGCTGTCCTCCAGTCACTCGGTCGTATAAAACAACGACAGATATAAGGATAAACGTCGTACAAAACAATGCAAACGAGCCCTGAATGTTTCCTTGCTTCATTAATTCATTGAATAAGGTAGTCAGCGTAAAGGAGCTGCGTGTGCTCACCTGGCTGTTGAGGCAAAGGTCGTCCTACTGTGTACCATCCTGAGGAAGCGGGAACCACTGCGTACAGGTGTCCCAGACGGCTTCACACATTGCGTACTTGATGTCCGCATTGTTCATATCCCCTGGGTGCAACAAACAAGAAGCTTCACTCAATACCTATTGCCTTGAATAATGGGCTATACAACACAGGTATCCGGTTATAGGCACTATGAATCCACCAAGGCATTCGTCATTTTTTTCTTATTAACTAAAAAACGCACACTCTCCTGGTTACAATCAGTAATAGTGTTTCAACCTAAACGGACCGACGACTTACCAGGACGTGGAATTAGATCCTGGCCGAAATGAAACAACCATACAATGTAGTTATAGATTCGACAATATCATTTCGCTTTGTGAGTAGAACATATATGATTAAATCCTGTTTAAACGTGGCAAAAACCGGTATGTTGCGCAGCCTAGCGAAAGATTCTTAAAGCTGGATGATGAAGTCGATCACTTCGCCGTACGCAGTCACGTAATCTGATGTGATGCGTAGCATAATTAGCACTCGAAATTGAAAGATCTGCGTGAATAATCATGCGCGCGCTATCCTGTGCCGCTTACTGCGTAAAATGAGTGTCACGGTGAGAAACGGCGTTGTCTTCGTAACATCCACTCCCCCACGTCGAGTTCCCACGCATGCGCACAGCGTGCACGCATGCACAGTAAGCCAGCGTGCTGGAACAGGAACCACCCTCACGCTCACTGTTTCCAGCATGTGTTGCCACGTGCGTAATGACTTCATACTCGATGCAGACGGAAAAATTGAAATCACAAATGTTTCGCTCTGTGTTCCACGTTAGCATTCCGTGATTGACCCTCTGACTGGTAAGTTTTCATTTGCATTAGAGGAAGTAGGCACCATAAAAATTGCCAATCACTTTAAGGATGGTCACACCAACTGAGAAACGCATTATAGGCGTGTTTTGTTTTCGTTGTGATGGCCGCGTAACCATTGTGATACCCGCATGCTTTGTGCACTGCATTCCAAGATAGTTCAGAGAGGAGATAATAAAAGTCGGCTCTTTCGCGCAATGCATGACACAATTTCGTACACTACGACACGTGAGCGAATAAGCCACCTATTTGTAATTTATTAGACTGTTTCGCGAAGCCCTCATAACTTTACGTACCTTGTCTATAGTACATGCGCACAGTTGTTACCTCGAGAGCAAGAACTGCTGCTGCCGTGAGTGCGTTCTCCCGTGGAAACGTTCTGGCACTGTTTAGCTTGATACGGCGTGCAACATAGACGCTGTGTGTACCCGGTTGAACTAAGAGTACTTGTTGCATTAGGAGTTGATAAGTAGCTGCTATTTGTAGTGTACGGCTACCAATCATTTAACGAAAGCCCACGCGTCCTTTGTAATCGAGACTCGGGCTATTCGCTTCATCGCTCATTATGAATTTTTTTTTTGTTATGCACACCGAAACTTGTAAAAGATGAAGATCTTGTCGAAGTTTTGTTGCCCTAAAGAAAAAAAATTGATGAACGTCAACCAAGAGACCCAACTTGCCATCTTACTGCTCTATTTCTCCTTGAAATAACGAAAAGAGATTTAGTATAGGGTCTTTGGAGGTTTCGGCATGCATCATTAGATACGTCGAACAGTCATTTCAGGTAACAGCTAAATGGCTTTTGTCCTCGAATAATCGTTCAATGTTGCACACTGGGAGGCAATAACTAATATTGATCAAGCAATTTACTTTTTTTCTTTTATCGTACGTACGATCTAGAAAAGCGGTACAAGTCTCTCTTACCCCGTGCTTTAACATCAGGTCACACAATTGAGCAAGAGGATAGAAACATGGCCCAGCTGACCTCTGGACCGCTTTCCAAAGATGCTGCCGTTGAAAGGCGGCTTGCGATAGGCGGCGCATGCCATGTTAGCCATCACCGCCAGCAACAACAGCGTGCCCAGCACTAAAAAGGCTCTCCACGACTGCATGGTGGCTCGCCTGGATGTTCTTTAGGTCACACTGCACTAGAATCGGGAGCACAAGCATGTTTCCCGTACACACATTCAACGAGTCGCACACATTCACACACAATGAGCACACACATTCAATGACGTCGGGATCAGCTGACGTAAGGTCATGCATGCAGCCTGCTGCACCTACGCGAAGCAAGAGTCAAGTAAAAAAATATGTTAGAGCAATGCAGTGCCCATCCGCTGTTCATTGGTGTCTGCGCCCGCTCGCTCTACCAGCTGATATAGAGAGACAGAGTGGTGAAGTTTGAAACATTTGCTTCTTTTTTTTTGTCGTTTTCAGTTCAGATTCAACTATATAATTGCACTTCTAACCATGAAAGTGTTTCTAGGCGGTTGATATTGCATCTAACTTTGACTTTTTAAAAGATACTTAGTAA